GGCCTGCCATGCTGCACTGTAAAAATGAAATACTCGCAGCGCTGGCCCAGCCAGATTGATGGCCCTGTCTGAGCTGGGAGGAAAACAGCGCTGGGCTGAACGTCCCGGCTCTGGAGAGATTCAAAACTAGGATATAGGGAGAGCCTGTGTGTGTTTGTGTTGAGTGCTGTGTGTGTCTTTGTATGTTGGTGCAGGCTCTGTGTGTTGGTGCAGGTGTGTGTCCGTGTCTTGGTGCAGGCTGTGTGTGTTTCTGTGTGTTGGTGTTATCTAGGTGTGTTGATGCAGGCTGTGTGTGTGTGTGTGTGTGTTGGAGCAGGCTGTGCGTTGGTGTTGTCTGCCGTGTGCATGTATGGGTGTTGATGCAGGGGGTGGGTGTATGTGATGCAGGGGGGGGGTGTGTGTGCGTGTGTGTGATGCAGGGAGGGGGTGTGTGTAATATTTGATAAAAATTCTAGTTCCATCTAGCTCTCTGCCCCGTTTGGAAGCATTTCCCTCCGTGGCCGGCTCAGCCGTGATGTCACAAGTATCCTGGGGCAGCTCTCAGCGCCCGCTCGGGCATTGCATTGTGTCAGCCAGCAGCGGGGGAGGAGCTCAAAGCGGTAGAATGATGGTGCCTGGCAGCGAGGGAAGCATGTGCCCTGCTATTCTGTTCATTTCATGATCGGCAAACATGGGGCTACCTGCTGAATGTTTCCAAGAACAGCTGCTGGAGCCCTGATATTTATCGGAAAGTGGCTCTGAGACGCTGGCATTGTGCAATTGCACGTCCATTATCCCTCAGCGGCTCCTGCTCAAATTTGCCCAAATTACAGGCGAAAAGCTGTTTCTTTCTCTAGCTGCCAGCCCTGCAGGCTCCTCCCAGATCTGTGGGAGCTCATGCTGGGCACTGGCTGGCTCACGCCTCATCACCAGGAAGGAAGATTTTGCAACTGAAGCTTAATTAACAATTCTCCCAGTGATGAGCGAGCCAGACCCAGCCCAGCCCAGGTTCTTCTCCCTCAGCTGGGCTGGCTCCGTAGGGCCACCAGGAGAGAGAAGGAGAAAACCCTGAATTCGGTCACTGGGGAAAGCAGATCTGACTCCGGACACACACAACAGCTGTGGGTCAGCTGCCTTGCCCCCGTGTGCTCATTTAAACTTGTGCAATGTCGGTGCCAAGTGCCAGAAGGGAGAATTAATTGATTGTGTGGGATGGGCCTCAGAGACTGGTTTGCTCAGGGTTTGCATATTGCACCAAGGATCTTAATTAGCAACAGCTCCAGTGGAGAGGGAAGGGGTGTGGCCAGCAGTGGGGCATGGAGTCAGGCCCTGTGTGCAGCCCTGCCCAGGCCTTGCTGCCCATGGGAAAGGGCTCCCTCCCGGCCGGGCCGCAGAGCTGAGCTGCACTGGGGGATGCCAGCTCCTGTTCTACTGCCCCCAGGCACTCAGCAATCAGGAGCTGGGACTTCCCCAGATCAGGTGAGTTTTAAATTATTCCTTGGCCTTGTGGTTTGTGAGCTGGGCAGGGCCATATTTCCAGCATATCCCGCAGTGGCAGGGCTAGATGTGAAATGGCTTCTTAGAAGCTGTTTCTCCTGTGGTCCCAGGGCTCCAGGAGCTGGGGCTTTCCGCAGGCATCAGCTGTCACGAGGCTCCCAGTACAGCTGTGTGAGTTGGCAACACTGACCATGTGCCTTCGGAAGAGCTCCCACCCGGCACTGGGCTGTGCAAAACTCGGGGGGGCAGGGAAGAGCAAAATGAATTCTTGGGCCAGATCCCCGGCTGGTGTAAACTGGAGTAACTCCACTGACATCAAAGAGCCAGGTCTTTGGCTGCTGCTGAGCAGCATTACTGAGGCCAGGGCGGGGGGGAAGGTAATCGCTTTTACTGGCCTGGCTTCAGCTGGTGAGAGACGAGCTTTGGAGGCGCACAGAGCTCTTCCCTGAGGCTGGGCATGGGGGTCCAAGGTGGAGCAGATTGGGTAGCCAGGAGTTCACACATGTTGCCTGAGCCCATTCAAGGTTAACACTCAGCCGGCATAGGAGAAAGGGGGGTCAGAGGGCTACAGATTGTTGTAATGAGCCATAAATCCAGGGGCTTTACTGAGGCCCTGCTTTTTAGCGTCTACCCAAGCTATGAATCCCAGCGCCACGGCCTGTCTTTGGCAGGGGCTGTGCAGGGTTCCTCTGAGGACGAGGATAAATTGGCCCCGGAGTCCCAGGCTGACTTACACCCCTAGGGGTTCCAGTGAGCTGCACGCACGGGCTAATCAAAACAGCCTGGTGACGGAAGGAAACTCCGCCAGAACTGCCAAAATTCAAAGCCGCTCACTGGCCTGGCGTGCTCACATCACTCCAAAAAAGGGCTGGTCTCCTCTGGAACTTACGTGGCATAGCTAGGTCTCTCGGGGCGTGAAAAATCCAAATCCTGAGAGCCGTGGCTAGACTGACCTAACCCTGGTGTAGACAGTGCTAGGTCAACAGATGAATTCCTCCACCAACCTCACTGCTGCCTCCGGGGGGGTGGATTAACTGCAGCGACAGGAGACCCCTCCCATCGGCATAGGTAGTGTCTACACTGAAATCTGCAGCGCGCCAGCTCATGAGGACAAGCCTATAAACCAAGATCGATTTCCCCTGCTTGGTGCGACTTGTCGTGTATTTACATTGATTGTCTGGATTGCAGGAGGGCTGTCTACTGGGGGTGTCTGCTACTGATCCGCACAAGCCTTTGATTCCCCCAAAATACATTGAGCTATCCAGCTGCAGAGCCCCCAGGTCCGAGAGTCAGTGAGGGGGAGGAGTTGTGCGAGTTGGTTCACACGTCACTGCTGCTTAATGTGATGCTGGGTTTTCCCGGATGTCTGTGAACGTCCCACTTTGAGCCCCCTTAGCGTTCCCGGGCTCTGCCCGTCACTGGGAGCCGCTGGGTGACCTGTGGCCCATGGGCAGCGCCTGGCAGCTTGGTCCACTGGATTCCCTTTTCCTTCCCAGGGGTGCTGGGACAGCCCTAGGGAGATGGCCCGGGGCATGGCAGGCCTGCTACTCCCCACCCCCACTGAGCTGGCATGGTGGGGGAAGGGAGCAGTAGCTTATTCCCCCTGGGAGGGGATTGGGTGGGACCTGGCACACTTCTCTGGGGCTCCCCTGTGGCTGTGCAACTGTGCAACACCCTTTACCCAGAGCCAGGGGGCAGGCTCCAGCTAGCCCCTAGTGAGCCATTGAGCCGCTGACTCGGTTGCTTGTGCCATGGGTCCCGTGTGTTCGGGCTGCTGCAAACTGGTGCAGTTCTGCAAAGTCAGTGCTGGGGAGCGGCCCCACAGACTGTTGCCTCTGTGTGTGTGCGTTTGTGTGTGTGTGTGTGCGGGTGACACCCTGCCAGCACGGTCCCTAGCTGGACTCGAGGCTCTAGGTGCTCCGGTGGTGCACACAATGAACGGACCTGGCACCAGCCAGACAAGACGGAGGGGCCAAACAGGCCGCCCTCCCGAGGCCTGGGTGCACACAGAACCCACCAGTAACTGCCAGGCAAAACCAGGGCCTTGGGTCCCACTTACGCCATTCCTGGCCGCTTAGGATGTCAGACCCTGCGTCACTCAGAAAAGCCCTGGCATTTCCAGAGTTCGTCCTGCCCTCAGGAGCTGCATCTGGAGGGGCTTCCGGGGCATTACATTACCGTCTGAGCTCGGCTTTAAACAGAAGCAAAATAATAATATTTAACAACCTGATGCACTGGGAGTTCCCAGGCTGAGTCCTGTGTGCTCAGCGTCTCTTTCCGTCCGATCTGATAACCAAGGTAACTGAGATCGTCTCTCTGACGAGGTCTCAGCTGCCAGTTCCTGCACTGTCTTTCTGGGTCTGTTCACCAAGCCTGCTCTGATCTGTGGTTTTGGCTACCCATCTGCAGTGCCCCAAGCCCCTGTGGCATCGGAAATAAACTCCCTAATCCATGTGGAGGAGAAGCATCTCAGGACATTTATTAGCAAACAAATATGCAGCAGGTGAGCTGATGGATTTTTCTCATGCTCCCTCATACAGGTAGCATGGTTCCTGCCACCTTTATAGGGCCAGAGTTGAAGCAGTAAATAAAAGGATTGTTTCCCATTTCCACGTGCTTCTCTAATGAGTTAAGACCTCAGCGAGCTTTGGAAGAGTTGAAGCCAAGCACAGGATGCTCAATGTCTGTTTTGGGGACCGGGGCGGAGGGGAGTTGGTTGATCACCAGTTTGATGATGATTTGACAAGAGGAGAATTTGAATTTTCTGTCCCTTTCTCTGCACGTTTCCCCCCTGCCCTGGCTGCTGAGGGAGGGGGAAGTTTGCAGATGAGCGAGGCTAGCTTGACGTCAGTGGGCGGTGCTGGACAGTACAGGGGCTGTGACTCAACGGGCTGTAATTATCCAGGAGGGGGGAGTACTAAAAGACCCATCGGGAAGCCTTTTCGACAGCTGCTTATTATGCCCGCAAGAGAGGAGAGAGCTCTTCCTTTGCTGGAGCTGCTGGGCCAGCAAACGTGTTTCGGAGCTTTGCCTCATGGGAGCCTGGCAAAGCTCCCATCTCCACATGATTCGGCTTCTGCCTCGCTCCCCTCCTCGCTCTCGAGCACACAAAGAGCAACAGGGCACGTTCGCTCCAAATTACTTGTATTTAGTCTGCTCGAAGCCAGCCGACGCGAAGCCCTCCATGTCCCCACGGCCGGTCTGTGCTGCTGCCCGGTGTAGCACGGGGGAAGCAAAGCAGAGCAGCGAGCTTGCCAGACAGGGCCCAGCTCTGACAGGAACCCGGGCCTTTGGCTATGAACCGGGCTCCAGCTCCTCAGGTTCCTTCATTGCAGCCCCTGTCTGGCATCTCCGACTTCACTGCTGGCTGCCGCAGGAATGCTCTGCTGCCACAAACCCGGACTGGACGAGGAGGAACCCGCTGCTCCTGCCAGGCCCTGAGTGGCCATGCAGGTGGTGCCTTGCATGGCAGAGCTGAGCGCTAACCCCGGCGGCTGGCCCTCGATGCTCCTGTCCCCACAAACCTGGGCTGGCTCAAACAGCACACGGCACAGCTGCTTGAGGCCTGGCAGGGCCGCCTGGACACTGTGCTTCTTGGCGTCTATTGGTTGAAGCTGGAGGAGCCATGCTGCCGGACCGTAGTGCTGGTTCGATTCAGAGCAGCCGGCTGCATGGGATCCCCATGGAGACAGAAAGGGCTGACACGTCGTAGGTTAGTGCTACTAAGCAGCTGGTGGTACAGACGTTCATGCGACAGGCAGGCAGCTGCTCCCCTGTGGCGAGGACGGCTCTGGCAAGAGCCTGCTCCGTGGCTGGAATGGGCACCGATCCGCCACAGCAAAGTGGCAGCCCCACCCGCCTCTTGGGAAGCAGCCTGGACCATCGTGCCATGCCCTAGGAATTCACAGACTTGGGGGGCCAGCTGCCCTTCTCCGGGCTTGCTTGGGGACAGGTCCTGCAATGCTGCGGGATGCAGCCAGCCCTGCAGTGAGCTACCCCGGCATTCCCTGTGGCCTGTGCTCGCACCTGGGGCCTGACTAAAGCTCACCCAAGTGGAGGCAGCCGCAGGCCTTGGTGGCTGGTCCCAGGGGCAGAGGAGGCAGGAGCTTGTGTAGCTGTCAGCAGCTGGGAAGAAATCCAGCTGGGTCAGACCCCCTGACTGGGCATGAAGAGACAGGGGAAGGGGTCTGCTCTGCTGCACCGCTCTGGAGGCCATAAGGAGCATCATGCGGCTGCTCTGGCCAGTCCAGACTCACACAAGGCAATGCTAGCTAGGGCTGCCACGTGCCCCGCTTCTCCCAGGATTGTCCCTTCTTTGAGTAGCTGTCCTGGGAACGGTGCGAAGGTGCTCAGAACGCATGGCCAGCTGGCCACTGCTGTGGGCTCCGGATCATCCCGCATGGCCCCTTGTTTGGACCTCAAGGGTTGGCAACCCTTGCACTAGATCAGTGGCAGAGAGACAATCCAAGCCGATCGGCTCAGCATTTATCTCCTTCCTGATTGCGTCCTTGCCCACCTTCACCCGGCTTCGGGGTGACGTGGCCGGTGCTTGGCTCCCCAGTGCCCTGGATGGCGTCGCTGCTCAGAATTAAATCTGCACAGCTGATAACTCGCTGAGCCTGGGTTAGTGCTTGAAAGGGCATTTTTCAGAGCTGCAATTTCCCCTCGTATCTCTGGGATGGGAACGAGAATTATACTGGATGGCTCGGATTGAGGTCAGCCCCGGCAGCTTGCTGAAGCACTGACAATATCCCTCTCATCTGCGCCAGAGCAAATGCTTTGCACAGAAAGTTGTGAGCAAAGGAGGGGAGATGACGGGAGAACTGCTGCCAATCTGAGCCGTGAATGCCAGGAGAAGAGCGGTCATGACAACAGCCGCTCTCACATCCAATCAAGTGTCAGCCCAGAGATGTGGGACTTTGAGGCTCCTGGAAAGCTCTAATGATCTGAGCTGAGCCCCTTGGCGAGGCCCATTATTCCGTGAGAGGGACGGGGGATTGGATTTCATATCTTTTAACAAGATTGCTTGAATCCGTAACACTTGACAACTTGGTAGAAATAGCCATGTACTTCAGAACCCTGAAATTACCTTTCCGCTTTAGCTCCTCAGAGCAGCTGGCATTCCAGCCCGTGGACCCAGCCCTGGGCTTGGGCTTTTCTGCCTCCCATGGTTTTGCAGGAGGAGGTCCCTCGAGCAGCAGCTTTCTCATTTTCCTAAGAGCACTGGGGCCCAGGCATCAGGCCCTTTGTCTCTTGACACGTAACACGAGTGGAAGAAGTTTTTTAGCTGGCTGGAATTACCTAAACCCCTTCTCTGATGCTGACCTGCCATCCTGAAAGCTCTCCCGCTCCTAAGTTAATGGGCCCTCTTCCCTGTCCCTAAGTATTTTGCAGATATTGACACACCTGTGAATCAGGGAGGACTATTAGCTGGAGTTTATGGACGGGGAAACTGAGGCACATAAGGGTTCTGACTTGCCCAAGATCCTATAGCAGGCTGGCTGAGATCAGAATGCAGGAATTCTTGGCACTCTGTCCCTACTTCCTGCCAAAGGCACCCAGAGGCAACTGAAATAAATCATGAACATACATTAATTGTCCAGGTCCACTCCTCCTCTGCGTCTGCCCTTCGACATCTGGCTTAGCTCACCAGTTCTCCACAGCAGGCACATTGTGTGTCTGTTCATTGTGTCTTGTCAGCACTTATTCAATAATAATTAATAATAATAGAGTACCCTGGCTTCATCTGTTTTGTGTCACTGACAAACTCCAGCCCTGCATGGCTCTTCCTCTGGATCATTGATTTCCTTCGTGGGTCAGACCAGCTCCAATGCAGATCCTGGTGAGACACCAGCACTCAGCTCCCTCTAACCCAATCTACTGCCTCTGACAGATGTCTTCTATCTTTGGTACCCATGGCAGGTCCATATTGATTGCAGCAGCCTGCCTGTCTGATACTTAGTGACCTTGTAGATTACCTTTATTCTGTGGTGCTGCGAAGTGCATGACAATGACAATGACTCTCACAAGTCTTGGGAGACAGGCCAGTCCTTGCCTACAGACAGCCCCGCAACCTGAAGCAAATACTCACCAACAACCACATACCACACAACAGAACCACTAACCCAGGAACTTATTCTTGCAACAAAGCCTGTTGCCAATTGTGCCCACATATCTATTCAGGGGACACCATCACAGGGCCTAATAACATCAGCCACACTATCAGAGGCTCGTTCACCTGCACATCCACCAATGTGATATATGCCATCATGTGCCAGCAATGCCCCTCTGCCATGTACATTGGTCAAACTGGACAGTCTCTACGTAAAAGAATAAATGGACACAAATCAGATGTCAAGAATTATAACATTCATAAACCAGTCGGAGAACACTTCAATCTCTCTGGTCACGCAATCACAGACATGAAGGTCGCTATCTTAAAACAAAAAAACTTCAAATCCAGACTCCAGCAAGAAACTGCTGAATTGGAATTCATTTGCAAATTGGATACTATTAATTTAGGCTTAAATAGAGACTGGGAGTGGCTAAGTCATTATGCAAGGTAGCCTGTTTCCTCTTGTTTTTTTCCTACCCCCCCCCCCCCCCAGATGTTCTGGTTTAACTTGGATTTAAACTTGGAGAGTGGTCAGTTTGGATGAGCTATTACCAGCAGGAGAGTGAGTTTGTGTGTGTATGGGGGTGGGGGGGATGTGAGAAAACCTGGATTTGTGCAGGAAATAGCCCGACTTGATTATGTAAAGAGTTGTCACTTTGGATGGGCTAGCACCAGCAGGAGAGTGAATTTGTGTGGGGGGGGTGGAGGGTGAGAAAACCTGGATTTGTGCTGGAAATGGCCCACCTGATGATCACTTTAGATAAGCTATTACCAGCAGGACAGTGGGGTGGGAGGAGGTATTGTTTCATATTCTCTGTGTATATATAAAGTCTGCTGCAGTTTCCACGGTATGCATCCGATGAAGTGAGCTGTAGCTCACGAAAGCTCATGCTCAAATAAATTGGTTAGTCTCTACAAGTCCTCCTTTTCTTTTTGCGAATACAGACTAACACGGCTGTTACTCTGAAACATGACAATGAATGTTTTCCTGCCTCCCAGAAGCTCTTTGCTCCTGTGTTTCTAAATATTCTGCCATGAATGTCTCACTTGTTAATGGTGACATGCAAAGGGAATACACAGCTGGGCTAAAAGGCGGCCGGGGGAGTGGGGGTGGGGAATTCCTGCTTCTTTTCACATTACACACTCGGCTCGAGCTGGTGCCTGGACCCACAAGAGTTTGCTGCCTGTTACGGTGACTGAACGGTGAGTAGCTGAGAGAGGAGGTAATGTTGAAACCTCTGGGCTTTTAAACATGTGTTCAACTCTGAGGCCTAATGAACACTTCAGAAAAATGATTTCTTTGCTAATGATTCATCTTCCAGCCCGGCCCCTGAACTGCCAGAACTTGCGCGCACAGACCCGTAGGCACCCGCCAGCAACACAAGGGACCGGTTTAGCCTCCCTGGTATTTCAAAGGTTAAAAGAAGGTTTGAGGCCGAAAGGGGGGAACCTTTTGGGGTGTTTTAAATGATACTCAAAGGAGGCCATAAGTCCTTTGCAGGGCTTCTTTTAGCAGAGCCTCCTCCCTGCCCTGTGTCTCAGCTGTAAATTTCTGGGTCTGGCCCTTGCTCCTGCCCCATTTTCCCACCTGCATTCAGGCTGACCCAGCTGCTGTTTCCAGGATGGAAGGGGAAGGAGGGAAATTAAAATCTCTCGGCATCTGTTAAACGTGGGCCCGGTTCTCTCTCGTCCTGTGCCTTGTACGGCCATTGACTCCAGTGCAAAGCACGTGGGACTCACCTTGCACGAGCCAGTGATGGTGTGAAGTGCAAGGCGTGGAGAGTCAGGCCCTGTGTTTTGACTAAAGCTCCCCCTCTGTCCCCACTGATGACCGTGGACATGTGAATGCACCCAATGGCCTGATTTTGGGACGAGCCACCCACTCCCCCTCTCTGCGCCGCCTGGATCCTGCTGGGCAGAGGGTCCAGCTCCGCCCCCTCCTGTCCCAAGGCGACTTGACTTCCAGCCGCGCCTCATCTCTTTCGCCAGGGCTGGGAGCCCCGGGTGCCTCTTCTGCAGCATCTCTAGATGCACCTGAAGTGCCTTTGCAGTTTGCCCTTTGGTTTCCCCCTCCCATCCTCCGCCCGGGTGTTTCGGGGCTCACCAGGGCTGCCCTCCTGCATGCACTGTGGCCAGCCGTCGTGGAGGCTTCAGCAGGCAGCCAAGCAGCCCTGAGCCCCTCCCCTGGCTGCATCTTTTTTTTCCGGATCCATTATAAACCAGGCTTCCTAATCTGGCATTTCCCGCCCTGAGGGGGCCCCCTACCCCCCTTCTCGCCCTTGGCCAGCTCCTTTAATGTACCCCCTACGCTCAGTTGTTGCGCTCTACCTGCCTTGGTCCTTGGCAGCCCCCCCGGGCCCGGTGTTCTAACAGCACCGCTGGGCCCCGCCTTACATTTTCCATTTGCCCAAAGGTCAAAAATCGCCCAAGCAAGAACCTCCTGCCAGCCTCTGCCTGAGTCTCGGGTCAGCAGGCTTACGCTGGCATTTGAAAGAATGAGGCTGAAATGAAGAACCACCTGACAAAAGGAGCCTCCAATACCTGTTGGGACCCAGAACTCTGGGGCTGCCTGAGCGTATGCAGCTGTGTGAGACAAGCCATGGGGAAAGGATGTGGTTTTCAATTAAATTCAGTCCTCAGCTTGTCATGCACTTCAGATAAATGCAAACACACGGAGACACTGTCTCACATCCACACACCTCCAGCAGGCTCCAAAGGGGCTGATTATTCGTCTGCGAGTTTATTTGCTGCTTTGTTTGTTGAGCTGTATTTGCATTCAGCTATCATTTCTCTTCCCATCCTTCCCTTCAATAAAGCTTTGACAGTACCTGCAAATCAGGTGTTTGCTTTATTTTAAAATCAACATCTATTTTTAAAGGAGTCCCCCCCTCATTAAGAGGCCAAGTATGTGCCTTGGAAAGTGCCAAGCATCTTAAAGTTACTTGAATATCATAATATTAGAAAGTTCAATTTGGCTTCAAACTGCACATCTTCCGAGTCCTTTCAGAAGTGTTATTGCATTAAACATTTATAGAGCGACTGAGGATCAAAGTTTCAAATTTAGCATTGAAAGTGCTTTGCAGATGTGTGCTGGGTGCCTAGCCTGCAATGAAAAGAAGCAGAAACTCAGCTGTCCATGGAGGCTCCAGCATCTAAGCTGGTTGGGGCTTTCAAGACAGTTGCTTTTTTGTCACTTAAAATGGTAACTGAGAATCCAGTGTTACATGGAGCCCTGGTCTGCTCTCCCCTCACGTATTGTAGGCTTACTGCAAATGGCTCGGCATTGCCTAGGTGAGCAAGAGCTAGCGTTGTCTTGTCTGTATGTGTATTTCAAAAACAGAAACTACTTCCTCTCACTCCGAATCAGGTGTGATTTAGAACTGCCCCAGGCTAGAGCAGTTTTCTCCTGCTCTCACTGGGAACATGTGTGTACCAGCAATGTCAGAGCGGGAGTGGAAATAAGTGGCCAGAGCCATGTGTGTATGCCACTAAGAATGAGGTGCAGGAATCCAGTGGGGGGAGTTCCCCTGGTGCCAAAGCCAGGAGAGTTCAAGCAGTGCAAAGCGGGAACTCAGTTGCCTTCAGTGCTGTCATGCTGACATACACCGGGAGCAAGAGGGTCAGTCTTCCTAGGGAGCTCTAAATGCCGTCCGAGTCCTATCCATCCGAGGGGCAAATGCTGGGCAAGGATGTTGGAAAGAAACGTTTCCCTTTCATCCCAGCATTTCTAGCCCATGCTCAGCTGGGACAGGGGAGGGAGGGGCAGGCCCTGCCTACTGGGCAAGGCTGCTCTGCTTCTTAAGAGAATCATGCTTTGCAGCAAGCGGATTCCTCCCTAGGATCTCGCAGCTTAGGGCGCCCAGCGGAGGGCTGGCAGCAGCCGGGTGTGTAGGCTTTGTTTGCAGCAGCAGGTTGTCAGTTCCAGTGTGGAAGTGCAGCCTCTGTGGGTGAAAGGCCAATGCGGTGCTCCTCTGGCTCAGGTCGGGGGGAGAAGGCCCACGGCCCACCTCCCCAGGGCCACGCTGCTGCAGGACAAAGCCCTGGCCCCAAGTACATGGACAGGCTGCGGAGCGGCTCCTTCCCCGGCCTGTTGCT